AAAATGCTCGTAATTTGAGGCACTCGTCACTCGAGGTTCCATTGTATACATCTGGTATACTTGTACATAGATATTTTACTGTTCAGTATTTGGATATGACCCCATTAGCCTTTAAGTGTTCTGGTATGGTATACAGCACAGTCGAACATCATATAAGGCCTAACAGTGTGCAAAACTCCTGCTGTAAGCTGCCAGATTAACCACCTTTAAGCAGCCTCGTCTAACTACTCAGGCTTCGATTAAAATTGGAGTAAAATGCCAAATGATAGTCATTTTACTCCAATTTTCTTCTTCTCTCCTACAGAAACTGTTCTTACAGAGATACCGAATTATTGTAGCCATGTCTCTTCCCAAGTTTTCTCGATCTTCTCAGTCAATTAAGCCTTTTCTCCCATGTTAAGATGGGAGACAAAGGCTTATCTCCCTCTTCCTCCTTCAACTTTACTACTGCTGCTGGTAAGCACCTTTTTTAACTTAATGAATTAGGCAAAGAAAAAGATAAAAATCATTGAATACTAAGAAGCCACACTACCCAGTGAAAGGCACATGCCAAGACATGTGCAGGCATGGTTGTTCTGCAGATACTGTACAAAAAGAAAGAGGCCAAATAAGCAAATTATTTTTCAGGACTGTTAATGTTAAGTTAAAATTTCAAAATTAAATGCCCCTTTTTTTTTAGTATTTGTACCACTAAAGGCAAGAGAATAGCAAATTTGCTTTAAATTCAATATGGCGATAGTATCAGACAGTCAAGCCGGTTCACCAAGACAGCTAGTGAGGCAAACACCATATTACGGCTCACTGAGCATCTGTTCATTGGCAAAGTCTTTCAGGCTTTCTTGAGCTCCAGCTCACTGTGATCCAGCCAAGGTAGGTTATAATGTACTGTACTGTGATATACAGTACATATGATAATTATCAAGGAGCTCAAGGCATCTTGTTTATCATGAAGTGATTGGTTGCTGCTTTGGATGACTTCTGTCATGGTGATGAAATGCCATGGTGTTCTATTGTGTGAATGATGACATGAATGGAAAATTCTTTTAACATCTAAAACTTTTACCATACAATATTATTCATCTTTTTTGTTTTTATCTCATCTGATGCCTCCAACCACAATGGGAAAGTTGGAAATGGTTTTAGGTGTTAATGATAATATAGAGTATGTAAGTAACATGGCTGCTAAATGAGCTTTATTCTAAGTGCATTTCTTGGCATCAGTTTGACACATTTTGTGTTAGAATAGCATAGTGTTGTTCTTTACTAGAACAAATAGTTTAACAGTATAAATACTATAGTTTTATTTGCTCTGGAGTGTTCTCAGAGTTTAGCATATACACATTGTTCCCCATGTAATAGGCTTTTGAGCATGGTATTATGATGATTTTGTAATTAGTATGTTAATGCTCTTCTGTTATTGCCTGAAATTTGAACATATTTACTTTATATTGTTTGTTTTGGTGAGCTCTTTGGGAGAAATTGTATTAAAGCTTTTTAAAAAGTCATGATACTGTTGAATTTGATTCTCATTAATATTAGAAATGCTTTTTTTATGAATAATTAAAGTACCAATGTTACTTTGTGATGAATTATGAAACGAATGGACTTTGCTTTACATAGTGCCAACTGTAAAAGCTGCTACCAGTATCATTTATGGTGATGGGTGATTTCCTCAAAGTAGTATTCCTGAGGGGCCTGACAGCTGAGTGGGCAGCGTTTCGGATTCATAGTCCTGAAGTTCCGGGTTCGATCCCCGGTGGAGGCGGAAACAAATGGGCAGAGTTTCTTTCACCCTGATGCTTCTGTTACCCAGCAGTAAATAGGTACCTGGGAGATAGACAGGTGCTATAGGCTGCTTCCTGGGGAAGTGTAACAAAAAGGAGGCCTGGTCGAGGACTGGGCCGCAGGGACACTAAACCCCGAAATCATCTCATGATAACCTCAAGAGAATATCCTAAATAAACATCTCGAGTTGACATTCACTAAAACCTGTTTTCCTTTCCAGGCAATATTGCCCATGTTCTATTGTATTGATACGTGGTGGGTAAAGTGGTATGTTTATAATAGTTTGTACAAGAAAAACATACTTTTTTTTTATTATTAATACATTAGGTACATCTGCATTAGTGCAGCTACCCTAGACTATATGAAGTGGAGTACAGTGTGTCAAAAAAGCTAACTACGTGATGCTATGAAATCCCCATCACACAGGATGGTTAGTCATACAGAGGCATGTGATAGGCAGTCTGCACTGGCAGACTCCGGAAGCATTTTGAGGATATCATCAACACAAGATTGAATAAGGAAGCAGTGGTAATAAAAGTCTCCATCTCGCAGGATGGTTAGTCATACAGGGCCATATGTTTAGTAGCCTGCACTGGCAAATTTTGGGTACACTGTGAGGATATCTTTAAGAATACAAGAGTGAATAAAGTAATTGCAAAGCTCCAGGTACCTCATGCCAACAGAAAAACATAAAAGTTGATATTCATTTATTAAGTCTAAGGATTTTAACAATATAATTTGGTTACTATGTATGGTATTGCTGTCATAGTTCTGCCTAGTATCGCTGATTGGATAATTGTGGCTGGTTTCAATGGAATACATTAACTAGATATCCTTAATATGGGATATCTTATGATTTGGTTTGGCTTCTATTGACATGAAACTTTTTCAGTGTGCAAAATCTTAAAATGCCTTAACATATTGACTTAAGCTAAAATGCTTTAGATACATTTCTTATGAAATTGAGCTCTGTATTGATATGTTGGGCAGTGTGACCTTTGGAAGGAACTGCACTCAATAACAAATGTTTGTGTGAAAAATACAACAAAATCATAATCTTGAACTTGGGAGCTTGCCATGAGTTTATCACAGTTGGCTAGGTACTCATAATGAATGAATTCCTTTGCTCTTTGTTAATTATTTCATGCCTTTGGTGGTCTAATTACAGTACACACACACACACACGTACGCACGCGCGCAGCATAGTTCCATCACTGCCCTTCATACCAACAACTACTACAGATCCACAAACTGTCTTAACAAAATAGTTTCCAATATATTTAGTAGATGTGTGTTGATCAGTCTTTGGCCTTTACTTAATTGCTTTAAAATAGTATTCACTGAATACTGTATTATACACAAAATATTTTCCAGGGTGTAAATTATGTTGTATCATTCTCTTTTGCATTTCAAGGAATACAGTTGAAGGAATTTTTAAGTATAGAATTCTCAATAACTTAGTTGTCTTATTAAATAGATTTGGTCCTTAAATGCCCTTAAATTGAGTAGTTGATATGCTACAGTATTTCACTTCGGCGAGTAACTGTACTAGGGGTTTTTGAAGTCATTGACATAGCATGTCCTGTTTGAATGATTAATTTTTTTTAATAGGTGTAATAATTACTCTGTGTTCTTTAAATGTTAGATCCAGCTCTATTACTATACTCTGTTATATGTAGATTCCACTGTGCACTACTATGTTATATGGAGATTCCACTGTGCACTACTATTCTGTACTGTATTCTCTTTATTTGGTTTAATTTTTATGTAGCGTTTTGGCTTTCCTCACAAGTCAAGCCTGGCCTCGGGCTGGGCTTGGGGAGAAGAAGAACTCCCAGAACCCCATCAAGCAGGTATCAAGCAAGCCAGTGGGGATGTGCCTATTTTACGGAACTACAAGAAGTCGTATTTGAAACTGCCGTAGCCTCCTTGGGAAGAACAAAACCAGAGACTGAGTATCATCCCCTGGTATGATCTGGTTAGCTGTTGCCACTGGACATTAATGTGGTATTGCCTGTATTGATATAGTTTCCCAAGAAGAGAGGTGTTTTGAATTTCAATATTGTTATTTAATCAAACATGTAGCTACATATTTTAAAATTTAAATAATTTGTAGCTAGGTGAGTTACATCTGGGATTCTCAAACATGTGGTATGCATACCCCTTGTGTACTCTCTAGTGTATATATATTCTAGTGTATATATATATTTGTTATGGTCAATAAAGATTGCTTTATTGACCGTAGCACACTTGGAAAGTATACACACACTAGACCAACCTAGGAACACACACTAGAGAGAGCACCTGTATGCCGGTATGATAAACTAACTTACATAATGTACACAGTCATGTTATTCAGTTATTAATTGCAAGAAACTTGAACTGTTTGAACCCACTTGATACTTTTAGCATTATTCTACTAGAACATAATGTATACTGCACGCACGTTAATTTCTAATCGCTCATCTCTCCTATTTGTGCTGCTCGCCTGCAGGGTCTTAAACAAGGAAAGGGCAACAAAAACCCCCTCAAATGTGTAAGTGATGGACACCTCAAGACATCCAATTCTAGGCTGGTTATTTTAATGTTCTGTATTTATCTTCTTTTTAATACTAGTTAAAGCTGAAAAGTTACAAACGTTAGAATGACTTTATCTCTACATTTTTTGGTATATTGAAATGTTTTGTATTTAAACATATTTTAAAGCCTGTGTTCTTATTACCTTTTATTTTATCTGTAGTATGTATATTAAATATTTTGCCACATTCTGCGATATAGCCCTAAAGATGCATCAGTATTCTGTACTGTATAATCTTCTGTAATGTTTTTCTCTGTGTACAAAATACATCAATCTCAAAAGTTAAAAATGTCATAGTGGGCATATAATTTTAGTACATGTACTATACTGTATGTAGAGCCTATTATATAGTGGGCATATAATCTTAGTACTGTATACTGAATGTAGAAACTATTAAAGTACTACCCTGTATTACCCTTTGACAATTTGTAATTTAAATATTGTATGTATACATTTTATTTCAAAAGGTTTTCTTCAACATTAAATAAATAATTTTTGTTGCTTTGTTTCTTTGTAGCTTCTCTCACTACCTTCAGATGATACGTGCCTGACCAGAAGTTTGATCTTTTCCGCTATCTCTTAGTTTATTGAAGTAGCAAATGTATGGCTATCTCTTTAACAACAAATTTTGTTTCAGTGGTCAACCGGAAGTGACGACCACCACTACCTCTTACAGTGTTGATTACGGCCCCCACACCACCAACGGTCACCACCACGACTCGCCCGATACGTCAAGACACTCTGTGTCGTCTGCAGGGCAGGACAGCACACAGTTGGTCTCCAGAAAGCAGACACAACACACTACACAACAGGTTAGATGCTGGATGTAGGGCAAGAGCTGCTAAGATTTATTTGATGAAAAACATGGTACATGATGTCATTACAAAGACAAACAGTATCATTGATTATATTTTAAAATATATTTGCTATTATAGTACTAGTATAGTACAGTACTCCACCATTATACTGTAGTGAGTTCATTTTTACCTCATGAAAGGGGGAATGGGACAGTGATGATACTGACTGACATAATTTATTATTATTATTACTGTATTGGTATTGTTATTGTTGGCCTGTTTCCCACTTTCATTGGGTTGGGATGCATTTACATGGGAAACTAGGAAAAGTAGAAAAATAGGGCAGATAATTACAGTATATAATATAACATTTACAGATTAGAATGTAGTTTACTAAGATGCAGGAGATACTTTATAATAAGATGACTTTCAACCAATATAAAGAGGGTAGACAACGGAAAAGTATATACAGCACCAGCTTAACTAAATATGTATCCTAGCCTTTCGATCCCGGGCGCCGGCGATAAACAATGGGCAGAGTTTCTTTCACCCTATGCCCCTGTTACCTAGCAGTAAAATAGGTACCTGGGTGTTAGTCAGCTGTCACGGGCTGCTTCCTGGGGGTGGAGGCCTGGTCGAGGACCGGGCCGCGGGGACACTAAAAGCCCCGAAATCATCTCAAGATAACCTCAAGATAGCCTATTGTTTTTTTCTTTGTACCCTAATGAGACCTTTCCATCACGTTCTCTCTCTATTTGCAGCAAGTTAGTTGCATTTCTTTACCTTTAGCTTGTTGAACTTGACTTGCATAAGTTCCTCAGTAATGTTAATCTTTGTCTTCATCAAACCACTGTTAAGTATTTTTCTTTATTCATCATATCCTAATTGTGCGTGTACTAGTAATTGCTTCTCATCTACTGATGCAGTACACACCACCCAAAAAATTAACTTCAACAGCCTCATTGCTAGTTCTGCTTATAATTCCGTGGTCATGCATTGTTCCTATTAACTTAGAAGTGTACTGGGGCATTCAATTTCTTCCTAGGGATCCAATTGATTTTATATTCTAAACTTGTAATATTATTCTTTGTTTCTTCCACTATTGCTCCATGTTTGTAGTGCCCATATAAATTTAAATGGCTCAACTTGGCACTTTTTAATATTTAATTTTTTCATGTTTTGCCAGATAACGACGACAACAAAAGTTATCCGTGAAGTGCACCACATTGGTCCCGACGGTGAAGTGTTGGATTCTTATCAAAGTGGTGAATATAACCCGTACGGTCAAGCCCCCCTACAACCCGGCTATGCCATGGACTCCTATCGCCCTCATTCTCCTGCCAGTGAAGCTGGTAAGTTGAGGCATGTTTTTTAACTTTCAACATTTTTAATTTGCTGCTGATCATATCATTTAGTCATATAGAAAAAAAATAAATATTTTTGTCAAGTGTTTTTTGCAAATGCTTTTTTAAAATGCTGTTCTCACCAAATTTGCAGGCTCACGAAGTCGTTATGAAGGTTACCCACCCACTTCGAATGCCGGTTATGAGTATGACCCATATTCACGGGGACCTCCGGCCCGTCAAGATTATCCATATGATCAAGTTGGCTATCCACCTCAGACTCAAGCTAGCTACAGTGGTCACTACCGAGATGCTGCAGGTAACTACGTGGATCCTGGCTACTTGCAACGCCCCCCCACCCCTCCATCACCTAGTGAGCGCTCCGAGTCTCCCCCTCCTCATCGCACCATGCAGCAAGGTACGTGCTTCTCTGTATCACACATGCTTTTCACTCACACGTTACTTTTTCCTGGACATGATGTACAAAGATTGGAAACACTTTCTCTTTAAATTACTGCTCCTTTGAGATTGGCCTTATTAGCATGCATGCACGCACACACACACACACATATATATATATATATTTCAGTTGCATATATGCCTGGAGACCGTTCAGGCTTGTTCGCATATATATATATATATATATATATATATATATATATATATATATATATATATATATATATATATATATATATATATGTATGTATATGTATATATATATATATATATATATATATATATATATATATATATATATATATATATATATATATATATATATATATATATATATATATATATATATATATATATATATATATATATATATATATATATAAACATTGGTTATTTTTTAGGATTACATTTCTTCACGTTTTCCTGCCACTGCAATCATAACCTGTATAGCAAAGGTTTACCATGTACTGGCTGTTGAGTAATGAAGAACTTTGCTTTAGAGTTGCTGCTCATTTATTAAGATGATAATTACCCTTTAAACTGAAGGTTGGCTATTGCCACCTGTTAACATGTGTTGCTGGTCTACTCTATGGGAAGTGTTTAAGGAGCACTTTGCTCTAGTTTTACAGGGGGTATTGTTGGCTTTACTTACCTCATAACTATCACTTATCTGCCACTGAATAAAGTTACTTTGATTCATCGTTTTGGGACACTTGTGTTGCATTTCATGTGAGTGAAACTTGACCTGCTCTGATAGTGTTAACACAATCCTTCTGTAGTAGTGAGCAAAGCTTGCTATCTGCATACAACACAATCATCATAATTACATTATCTGTAACTCTGGTTTCATATTGAATTGGATGGCGATTCCATTATGTTTCTCTTAAGACATGAAATACAGTTAGTGACATTTTTATGTGAACTACTGCATTTTTTCAAAAAATTTCTACAAGTACTTAAGCCGTGTTTGGCACTGATATACAGTAAGGCAAATGTAGTAAGTTGCCAGTTTCCATTCTGTGTGTAGTACTCCAGGTCTTCTTTGCCGACTCTCTCTGAGTAAAGAAGACCTCTTGAGGCTAACATCAGGCTCTGCTTTGCCTTCACTTTAACTCTCCATCCAGCAGGAAGAGGTAAGTCTTACCTCTCAACTTTCTTCTCATTTCATGTGTTTTGTGTGAACTTTGTCAAGTATGACATTAGAATATATTTTAGTCTTTGATTTTGTTGTATGAAGCACAGTACTCAGACTGGCTATTGTGCAGTGCAACATTTTGGGCAGTGTTTGTGCTTTAGATCAGTGCTGATGTTGAACTAGAATTGTATATAGTTGATATACAGTAACCTGATGTCAGTATTGGTTCACACGGTGTTCTGCTGTGAGTTAAGATAAAACAATATTATAAAGTAAGGAAACAATTGAAAACAGCAGTTAAATAAAATATAAACTGAACTACAGCATTAATGTTTTAAAATCTTTATTATGAATCATAACTTCTTACCAGGATATTGGTGAAAGCAAAAGGAAGGGGGGACTAATTCCTTGATGTGTAGTGTTCTGTTCAGTGTGGTTCTAATCAGTACTTGCATTGAATTATAAAGGGATATGTATTCTGTATAGTATTTAGATATTTTACTAGCACTTGACAGGTTGTTCCATCAATATATAGGTGGAGTAATGGGGGGCGGGGGGGCTCGAGATGAGAATGTGCTTGGATATTGTTAATTTAGTGCATAATAGGTGGGGGGGGGGTTTACTCGGCAGTGCTCAGGCTGATCCGGTGCCCAGGTCTTTTTCCCCCCACACACACTTTCCCATCTTCCCATACACACCCTTTCCATTTCCCCACATCATTAATACATACTGTGTTTATCACTGTCAACATCTTTACACCATCTGCATTCCAACTACACACACCCTCCCCATCTCCCACCTACACACACACTCCCCATCTTCAACACAGCCTCCCCATATTGCCCCCACAAACCTTCTCCATGTCCTTCCCACATATACTCCACATTGCTTTCCCTGCCCACAAACCCCCATTACCAGTCTCCTCCCAACCTGCCCACACATGCCCTTTTCCCCGTCTCCTCCCTCCCTCCCTAGTCCACACACTCCCCCTTTCCCCATATCATCTTGCCCTGCCCACATGCCTGTACTCCCTTCCCACATCAATGTAGCCAAAGGTTGAGCAAAGAATGCAAATCTCTTCTGAACATATGTTTTAACAATCAATACTGTATCTGAATTCACTTTTTTTAAACTAATGCTGAAGTCTGTTGACTCAAAGCTGAACATTTCACATTTGCAAACTTCATGAAGGAGAGGCATTGGGGACATGCACACTGAAAGGGATGTCTAAATACTTGGGGTTTATTATTTATAAGAGCTGCAATATTGTTTCAGCTCAGTCGGCAAATGAAGTCACAAGGCATACATGTTAGTGCCTTTGTTGATGTTGACAAATCTTTGTAGATGGTGGTGTGGACAAGTTGACTAGTGGTTACCAGGGAGGAAGATGGGAAAGGGAGAGTAACTACAGGAATTGGAAAGGGAAAGATTTGGGAGTGGATATAGTTGCGACACAAACACTAGAGGCACACACAAACAGGATAACATTAACAGCATATGGGATGCTGGCAAATATATAATAGCGAGCATAAGAAATATTGCCGGAACAACCGTGGACATCTTCAAGAGAAAACTAGATAATTTTCTCCAAGGAGTGCAGGACCAACCAGGCTGTGGTGGATATGTCGGCCTGCAGGCTGCTGCAAGCAACAGCCTGGTGGACCAAACTCTCACAAGTATAGCTTGGTCTAGGGCTGGGCTTGGGGAGTGGAAGAACTCCCAGAACCCCCATCAATCAGGTATTAGGCAGTGATATGGTGGAGGCAGACTCCATAGACAGTTCCAAATTTAGATATTTAGTAGGCTCAGGAATCTGTATACTAGTTGATTGACAGTTGAGAAGGAGGACCAAAGAGCCAGAGCTAAACTCCCGCAAGCACAAATACACACACACATACACACATGGGCCTCGTGGCTGAGTGGACAGTGCTCAAGGGTTGTAGTCCTAAAGGCCCGGGTTCGATCCCCGGCCGAGGTAGAAACAAATGGGCAGTTTCTTTCACCTGATACTTCTGTTCACCTAGCAATAAATAAGTACCAACTAGTTGCAGTGTATTCTGGCTGCATCTTGGGGCTGTGTGTGTGTGTGTTTTAGAGAGGAATATGTGTAGTAGATATGATGGAGGAAATCATACCTACTATGCAAGAAGAGGTCGAGTCGGTACATTAGACAACCGGCGGTTAAAAAGGTGGGGTTCAGGAGCTAATAGCACGATTCTGCAGACACAAATATTAAAATGTGCTTACTGCAGAATGAGGGGTCTTAGATGGAAACTGGAGATGCAAATGACACCAGGAAGAACTTTTTCAATATTAGAGCTGTCAATAAATGGAATAGGCTAGATGCAGAAGTCGTTAGAGCTAATTCGATTCAAAATTTTAAATGTAAGTATGACAAAAGTGTGTGAAGTGAGTCATTGCATTAATCTAAGAACATTCAGAAGACATGGCTAGCTTGACCCTGCAAGCACATCTAGGTGAGTTCACAGTGTGTCAGTTCATCAGCTGCTGTTGTTGTTTTTAGATTCAGCGACTCTGAACAAAAAGTTCCAAGTACCAAGGGCTATGGTCTTGTGACCTGTTATGGGCATTTGACCTCTGGTTTCCAACTAAGAACCCAGGGTCGTAACATGACCATAGTACACAAAAGGTCTTATGGACTTACAAAGGGCCTTGCAAAGGGTCCCAGTAGTACAGTCGGGTTCGTTCTCCACACACAGTTGAGAATTCTGGGTTCGTATTCTGGGTGGGAAAGAAATGGTTGGGCACATTTCCTTTCACTTAATGCTTCTGTTCACCTAGCAGCGAGTACGAATTCAGGAGTTAGTCAGCTTGTTACGGGTTTGCATCCTGGGAGGGGTCAGTAATTCGACCCTGGGGGTAGGGTAAACCTCGATTATAGCCAAACTTGCATGAATACACTCTGGCTTCCTGTCCTTCGACACAGTGAATTATTATTATTATTAATTACCTGGCACAGGAGTGGGGCTGTGACGAGTTCGTCAGCTATCACGTTTATTTCTACAGTGGAAACAAGGTAGGGCTCCCCCCACCCTCCACTCCCCGCCGTGGGCGCCCCCCACCCTCCACTCCCCGCCGTGGGCGCCCCCCACCCTCCACTCCCCGCCGTGGGCGCCCCCCCCCTCCCGCCACTGGTTGCTTAAAAAAGGTGCTACACCTTATGCACAACATTTCACTAATTTATTGTCTCCTGTAATGTCTGTAGGAAGGAGCTGCAGCGATTATATTTACTAGTAATGTATAGCAAGTATTTAGCATTGTCGGCTCGCAACATATTGGTCCCGGGTTCGATTCCCTTGTTGGACGAAACGTTCGCCACGTTCCCTTCAACTTTACGCTTTATTAATGTAGCGGTAATATGTAGAAACCTGTTGTTGGCTCGGGAATCACTGTCCCCGTGAGTTAGGCAACTTGTGGATTGTATCCTTACAAAAAATCAGCCGCTGACGTAGGTAGGCTACGATAGGCCTAACAGTTTTCCTGTCCTCGGTAATAGGAAACAATAATTACTGGTTGTTAGCGGGCACATCATGCTCCTACACCAGTTGCTTGGATAATACAGATGTGTCAATGGCGAGTTATATGGATGGAATACTTCTGATTTTTTACATTTTTTGGAGAGTAGGGGGAAGGGGGGAAAGGAAGGGGGCAGGTGGGTGTTGACAGGGGAGGTGGTTGTGGTGATGGAATGGGGAGATAGTTGGCAGGGAAG